TTCTCTCCTTCTTTCTCTCCTTCTTTCTCTCCTTCTTTCTCTCCTTCCTTCTCTCCTTCCTTCTCTCCTTCCTTCTCTCCTTCTTTCTCTCTTTCTTTCTCTCTTTCTTTCTCTCTTTCTTTCTCTCTTTCTTTCTCTCTTTCTTTCTTTCTCTCTTTCTTTCTCTCTTTCTCTCTTTCTTTCTCTCTTTCTTTCTCTCTGTCTTTCTCTCTGTCTTTCTCTCTGTCTTTCTCTCTTTCTTTCTCTCTTTCTTTCTCTCTTTCTTTCTCTCTTTCTTTCTCTCTTTCTTTCTCTCTTTCTTTCTCTCTTTCTTTCTCTCTTTCTTTCTTTCTTTCTCTCTTTCCTTCTTTCTCTCTTTCTTTCTTTCTCTCTTTCTTTCTTTCTCTCTTTCTCTCTTTCTCTCTTTCTCTCTTTCTCTCTTTCTCTCTTTCTCTCTTTCTCTCTTTCTCTCTTTCTCTCTTTCTCTCTTTCTCTCTTTCTCTCTTTCTCTCTTTCTCTCTTTCTCTCTTTCTCTCTTCCTCTCTTCCTCTCTTCCTCTCTTCCTCTCTTCCTCTCTTCGTCTCCTTCTCTCTGTCTCTCTTTCTCTTGCGCCTCAGCAGCATCAGCGGGGTTGGTTTGGGAGACCTAAAAACATCTGCCTTCGAAAGCCTTCAGAAATCGCTGTAAACACACGTTCTTTTGCTTGGGAAGCTATTTCAGCTATTTGGGACTCAGGAAAGGGAGCATCATGAGCATCAGCGGCCTCCCCCAGGCCATCCAAAACCCCCCTAAACACGCCGATTATCTGTGCTTGAACGCTGGCATGCCCGCGAAACACCTAAAAGCAAGACCCCGAATGCTCTTAAGGGCATTCGGGGTCTTGCTTTTCGGGTGTTTTGTGGGCATGATGCCGTTCGAGCGCATAAAATGACGAGTTTAGGGGTGTGTTTACGCCGACCCACAAAACGCTCGGTATTTACGAGGTTTTCTCCTCTTGAGAACCGCCCGAAAAAAGCATCATGAGCATCAGCTGGGTCTTTGGGCCGTGGGCCCGAAGGCCCACGAAGCCACACGAGAAGCGATGGCTCGATGATGCGACCCATCAGCAGACCCCTTGCCGGGACATGGGTTTCGATGATGATCACTTTGGGGTGGGGGTCGGAAGCGCGCGTGACCTCATAAAAACACGGTATTTGTAGCGATTTCAGCGTTGTTCTGCGTTTTGTACTGCCTTGGGGCCCCGGGCCAGGGCTGCTGATGCTCGTGATGCTCCCCTGGTTTTGGGCTTACGAGCCGTGAGATTGGAACACAGGGCATCAGATTTTTGAGGACGTTTGATTCAAGCTTTAGCTGGGGTTTCCGGGCTTAGTTTAATCAAAGTTCCGGGGAAGAGTTAAAGGGCTCAAATCAGCAAGAACTCCAGCACCCAGGACTGCGCAACCGTTGTCCCTGCGTAGGTTTCCGGCGTGAGCCGGCTTCCGATACAGGTAAAGCTGGTTTCTTTCAGCGAAGAAACCTGGCACAAAAAATGTCTTGCAGGTCTCGGTCTGCGCCCAGTCCGAGACAAGCAGCGCGTACATGCAAAACCCTCCCGGCGGGAGGGTTTTGCATGTATCGGTCTGGGCCCAGACCGATACACGCAGATATGTCGCCGACCGGCCACCAGGTATTCCGGGATTCCTGGCTCTGTGATCAATACCTGTGCCCTAACCGGCTAGCCGGACGGCCCAGACCGATACATGCAGAAACCTCCGGCCCGGAGAGTTTTGCATGTCAGTTTTTTGGAAAACCATTGCTGCCCAGATATGTTTTGCCTTGGGTGGAGAAATGGTGCTGCATGTCTCGGTCTGGGCCCAGACCGATACATGCAAAACCCTCCCGCCCGGAGCAAGGCCCAGGTTTCCTGGCTGATAAAGACCAGCTTTGCCTGCATCGGAAGCCGGCTCATGCCGGAAACTTCGTTTGCAGCGGCGCAAAACCAGTTTCCAAAATGATGCGCGCGCGCATATCATTCTTGAAACATCTTGAAACCGATTTCCTGCGCGAAAAGACTCTGTTTTGTGCATGAACTCACCTTTCAAAACGACGCGCACTCGTGCACGCATCATTTTCGAAGCTGTGCTTGGGCGCGAAAACCAACTTCAAAACAAATACGCGTTGAACGTCATATAGGTCTGGAAACATGGCCGGCTGTCGCGAAATTTATTGAGACCCCTCGACTTCAAAACGTGAAGCCCTACAAGAGCTCAAAGCCCAGCCCCCGCTTAAGGTCCCTAAACCCAAAGACAGCCGAAACCCTCTACAAAAGCTAAAAAGGGCCCTACACTATTCCGAAGTCCAAAGAAGCCAATCGTGGCCGCGTGCCCTACGTAGGGACAACGGTAGCAGTGTCCTGGGTGCTGGAGTTCTTGCTGGTTTGAACCCTTTCTGCCCTGGGTTCCAATCTCACGTCTCGTATCCACAGTTTGAGAAGTTTTAGGGTTTTGGGTTTGAGTTTTGGGCAGGGCCCAAGCGATTTGGGCGAGTCAGAGAGGCTCAGCTTAAGCCCTATATAATATCCTCCAAACCTCAAAGCCAACAAGCGACCTGAACCACCAATCGCTCTAAGCCACGCCCAAACAGGAACCCTCCAGGCAGGCCTCACCCCAAAAGGATGTGAAACCCTAAACCACCCTAAGCCCCAGACCCGACACTCTAAACTACCCCAAACAGCTCGGAGTTCGCAGAGGCGCCGAAGTGGGAAGCGTGGATATCCTTACGGCTTATAGGGTTTAGGATCCAGTTGTATGCTGGGCGCTTTAGGTGGTTTGGTCATGTGGGACGTGGGAGGTTCAGGCATCATTGGGATCTTGAATATGAAGGGACCCGGGACTGATGGCGTTTACCCTAAACCTGAACCCTGAACCCGCAGCCCGCGGCCCTGTGCACCCTAAACCTACACCGTGGGCTTCTAGTGCATGTGTGTCGGAGCTTCGGACCATTGGGGAGGAGGCCGAAGTCCGTGTGTGGTTTTCGGGTTTCAGCCAAGCCTCGAGTTCTATAATCCCCAAACCTTAAGTCAACCCCTGAACTGTATATAAGCCCAAAACCATAAATCCCCTACATAAGCCCTAAACCGGGCTTTAGGGTTTAGCGCTGAGGGTTTAGGGTAGGCGCCCGCAACCTTCGACAAAGAAGATCGCTGCAAAACCCTGGACCGAAACCCATGGGCGGGTGCGCCAGCACCTGCAGGTGGTACTAGAGCGGTAGATGCCGCCAAGCCTTATGAAACCCAACCCGTACCACCTTAGCCACAGGCCCGTTACTCGCAACGCCCAACCGAAACTTCTTAAACCCTTGCTTGGGCCAACAAACTCTCCAAATCTCGCAAAGCCTTTTCTAACACACGAAAGAAGGTTCGAGTTGTTTGGCTAGCCTCCTGAGTTATAGTGTGCACGTTTGCTGGAACGAATTTGCTTAACCCTAACATACCTAAACTCTACTTCTCGGTACCCAACTCTAGTTCTCAGGAACCGCCCCGTTTAAGTGCACTTCCAACAGCAGCGTCGAAACCATGTACGGGTGTGTTGAATGCTCAGGGGATTCCCTGAAAATACTGCGGTTGGGCACTCCAGGGATTCTGTGCAGATAGATTCTTTGGGGATACACACTCTGAGGTTGGGCTCTCCAGGCTGGGCACTCCAGGGATTCTCTGGTGATGCTTTGCACTCTGGGGTTGGGCACTGCCGGGTTTTGCGGGATGCTCTTCTGCGGGCACTTTCCGGGGATAGTCTGTGTTGGGAACTCTTTGGGGGTACTGGGGTTGGGCATTCCAGAAATGCTCTGATTTTGCAATCGGGGCTGGGCACTCCAAAATTCTGTGGGGGATACTCTGGGTCCGAGGGTTCTCTGGGGTTGGGCACTCCGGGCATTCTCTGGGGATGGTCTTGGGGCTGGGCACTCGACGGGTTTTTCGCTCCGGGGTTTTTGGGGGATCTGGGGTGGGATACGGGTGATAGGCGAAGAGTAGACCGGCCGTGCAGTGGGTAGTCAACGGCAGGTCTCACACTTGCCTGTTCGGTCAATGCTGTTTTCCCGAGTGGCTTCTCGAGCAACAGCACTAGCTTTCGTTCCTGCCGTCCCTCACAAGTCTCCTTAACTCACACCGAAATTCTTTACCGGGGAGTTTCGAGGATTTTCGCGAAACATGTGAAGTGGCGCGTGCGGGCCAATAAGCAAACGTGCGCACAACCAACCCGCAAGCGAGTGGACGGGTGCGGCTTCTGGGAGGCTTTATGATTCTTACCAGTCTGGCACTGGGGCTTCCTTAGCAGATGAGCCTCCAAGACGATTGCAGGACACCATAAAACAACTTGAGCTCACAGGATGTCCTCCACAGATGCAATTCCGCGTAGTCGGCCAGCACAAATCGCATGACAGTACAGCCGGTGCCGTGTAAGCGTGTAAGCGGCTACTGTAAGCGGCTTTGCAGGCCACCCATTTAAGCAGCCGCAGCACAACGCCAACGGAAGTTTCGGAAGTCCCGTCGAGGCTCGCCTGGCTTGTGTTAAGCACTGAGCTCATGCACAATGTCTGAAAATGGCTTCGAAGGTCTTCCTCCAACGACAGTCTCTATGTCGACAGTGCTGCTTTCGAGGAGAATGCTCAGTAGAGCATCTTTTGAACTGACACAGCACCTGTGAAAGGGCCCGCTGGTTCAACAGTTTCACTGAAGACGACGCAGTTTCCAGTTTCGGTTGCAATAGCGTCGGTCGGGCCCAATTGCCCTCACCATCTGCAGCCAAAGCAGCTTCCGAAAACATTGTCATGTGTTTTGACCCCAGTTGTGGCAGCCATGAGGGTTGGTGCATTTAGGATGAGTGGCACATCATGGCACCCTTTGTTTGGCCCACAGCAGTTGGTAAGGATCAAGTGTATTGACGAGGCTTCAGTGATGCATGCTTTTGGGTGTGGTTTTGTACATGTCTGCTTGACGTCGGCGCATTTCGCCCTTCAGCGGTGAATTCTCTTGCTGACATGCCATGAAGCGGCGCAGCCAAGGCAAGCGTTTCCCGGAGTTCAATGCTTTTGTGGTACAATGCCTTGCCAGTACTTAATGCTTTCTCATGTGCCAAGCGCGGCTTAGCCCCCTGTACTTCGGTGCGGCTTTGCGCCACCAAGTGACACATCATACACGTCCTGAGGTCAATGGAGGCTCCAGCCTGTCTGGCCTTTTCTGTTATGGCGCCCGACCCACATGTGCATTTGCTTTGCAAGCTGCTTGATCGCTTGTTTACATGCGGTCGGCTTCGTGGCAATGTCCAGATGGGCATCTCAGCTCAGACTGGCTGGCGCTGGCTTTGGAGACAGCGGCGCCGGAAATCGCCTGGTGCGCAGGTATGTTCTTGCGGACCCGCCCGTGCGAACTCGACCGCCGGACACGGTGTCGGAAGTCTCGACCCAGAATGCTGAATGGACCGAGTGCCTCATCAAGAACCCAGTCTCTAATGCTGGTCAGAATGCACTGCGTGTTGAAACATGGATTTTTCGGACCACCGATTTTGGTGACTTTCGACGTCATCTAAGAATTCGAGGCTTTGAGAATATCGGTGAGACTTCGAGCCTGTCATGCCGCGAGCGTCAAATCGATCCGGATGTAAGATGTTCAGAGTGCTTGCGGTTGCTTTGCGGTGGATACTATGGTCACCTTGGCGTGTGTGTTCCATCATACCCGCCACAACGAGATGCGGTAGGTTGCCTCGCGCAATCAAAACAGATCGATATGCCAGCTCCAACCACAGAAGAAGATGACAGTGGAGACTGGGATGGAGACCAAGGGCGGCAAAGCGCATTTTGTAACAGTCTCAACGTTAGGCTCGACAAGGCCAGGATTTGCTTGGGTAGGGGCAGTGCCAAATAGTGCCAATAACAGATTCCCTGTCAGGTGAGTCTATGAGGACACTTGATGACGGACCAAGCTGTGCAGTCGCTGCGAGGTCCAAATAATCAGTTGGCTTTGTCCGCTGTGGCATTAGGCAGTACAGTCTCATTGCTGCGAATGTCTCCTTGCGTCTGCGCACCATGCTGCACCACACAGTTTCGTGCTTGCATGGCCTCAATGATCATTGGCTTTTCAGCTTTCAGCTTAGTGAACCCACGCTAAAGCTGCCAGGCAGCAATACTAGAACCTTCTTGCTTCGAGGAGCGCAGGCCCTCGGGACAAGAGGCGCGGGAAAGCATGGCGCGCCAACTTCATTCGCTCGTGTTCTTTGCCTTCAAATTTGCCGTCGCAGATTCGGCCACTCTCTCAGAAGACATGTGGCGGACAGCAGCAGAGCTTGTAGAAAGTAAGGGGATGCATTTTGCATGTTTTACTATTATTAAAATTGCTATTATTATTATTTTTTTTTTTTTTGGGGGGGGGGGTAGGGGGGGCGGGGTGGGAAGGGGGTTGGTGGTGCGTACTTTTTTCGCGTACGTTTTATGTTTCTTTCTCGTGTGTACCTTTGCTTTGTTTCTTCCTTTGCCTTGTTTTGCTTCCAGCCTTTTGCATATTTCTTGTTTTTGACTGTTTCTCTTTTTTCGTTTCCAGGCTGCGATTTTTTGATTTTTTGCTTTGCTCTTCGCTTTATGCTTTTCGTTTTTTGCTTTTTGCTTGGGCTTTTCCTTTCTGATCGCTTCTCCTTGCTTTTTGCCTTCTTTTCATTGCGGGTGCCCACGGCGACCGCTGCTTTGACCTTGACCCACTTGCCTCACTTGTTCCCCGTGCCCTGCAGATCTCCCCCCCCGCCATCCCCCGCTCCCGCGCCCTGGAGGCAGGGGGAAGTGGGTCCTTATGGCTGGAGAAGTCTGCCTCAATCCGGGCCGTCTTTGAGGCAGACTTGTGGCTGGAGGCAGAGCTGCACCATGGGTCCCCACTGGCCGAGCTTGCGGCAAGTGGGGCAAGTGGGGCAAGTGGGGCAAGTGGGGCAAGTGGGGCAAGTGGGGCAATGTCGTTTTCCACCAGGGGACCAGAGCAAGTGGGGCAAGTGTCAGAAAACACCTAGCGGTGCAGATTTGCACGCCCTCTGCCTCTTTTGTTCTTTTGTTTTTTTGTTCTGTTTGCTTGTCAAGATTGCTTTCGCGTGTTGTTTCCAGCCCGCGCTTTTCTTTTTGTGCTTTGCTTGTCGCTTTTTGCCTTTTGCCTTGCTTTCCTGCCCTCCGGCATCACCTGACTCCGCTTCCTTGCTTCGCAGCATAATCCTCATTGCTTTTGCAAACCCCCCCTTCTTTCAGAAGCTGTGCAATGTGCAACACTTGTCCATCCATCCACCCATTCACACATCCACCCGTCCATCCATCCATCCATTCGTTCACCCATCCACCCACCACCCATCTATCCATCAAACCCCTATTACCCCGTTACCCCCCTTGTTGCCCCCTCTTACCCACCCTTTCCATACCCATCATGCGAGCATTGTGGCTGCGCCCCACCCCGCAAGCATATCATACCATTATGCGAGCATTGTGTTTGACCGTGCAAGCTTACTGCGAAAGCATATGAATCCTTTCCAGGCCCATCCTGCCAGCATTCTTTTTGCAAATGGGGAGGGGCCCCCCCCACCCCCTCCCCCCAACCACTCGCTTGTGTAAGCCGCACAAGCTTGCTGCCAATGAATCCTGTCCCTACCCATCATGCGAACATTGTGTTCGCAAATGGGCCTTTACCACTGTGAACCCCTTCCCATCATGCGAGCGTGGTGTTCGTGCTGCGCCCCCCTCCCCCCCCCTCAACGACAACGACGGGCACGTGGCAACACCGACCAATTCGTCGATGGCAACACGCACGGGGCTTAGCCGACAGCCCACAAGAAACACTGAGAGGGTCATTGATTTTCATATGGTAGCGTGTACAAGACAAGCAAAACCAAAAACTCGCCCCAAAAAACAAATAAGCCTACCTCATGAATTCCGGGTCATAAGTTAGATTAAAAGGGTGGAGCACATCCTTGAGGCCGTTCATCTCAGCAACCTGGCGATGCTCCTGAACAACGAAGCTGACAATTTGAAAGCAATGGCCGTGACCCTGAGAGCTCAGGACACACTTGAAAGTTGTAACGTTGTTTCTGTGCTCTCGCGGGGCAGGGAGAACTCTGTAGGAGAACGGGCTTGGTGAGGAAAACATGGAGGCCGACGAGGACCCGAGCACTGCTCGACTTTGTTTCTAACTCTGCTGCTGCCGGGGTTAAGAAGCTGGCGCAGGTTCCAGTCTACGAGTCTACTAATTAAGCCTACTAAGGTTGCGTGTGCTGGAGGCAGCTTGAAATGCGCCGGGGTAGCTGATTCAACACAGTACATCAAAGTGAATCGTTCCCCGAGCGGAATCTAGGCTACTCAGTTTCAGGTTGCCGTGTTTTGGAGTCCCAGGAAGCGGCTGTCATGCGGACTGTTGGCATGGGCAGCAACATGCTGAAGTTAGCCGGTGATGCTCTGAGTGCTTTGGCCGCATGCTCGTAGGCGAAGGTTTTGTCGTCGAATGGCCTTGCTTTGCTCATGATTCCCTTCGTGATGTTAGAACTAGCATCAATCATCATTAGTCGTTAGCTATGAAAAAGGGAAACGCGGGAAAGCTTCTCTGAGTGGGGGGGAAGGTGGGGAGGGATGCGGCATCGGCACGCTGAATTTCCCCGACGACTAGCCTGAACGATCCACAGTGCCACGCGGGCACGTGCACATAGCTGCCCTCGGGCTCATACAGGACCGGACAATTCTGGCGATACGGTGGTTGAAGTCGCGAGTCGTGGGTGGCTAAATGGTCGGAGTGGCAACGTTGGTGGGGTGTTCGCACGGTGACAGTTGCGGTGAGGGTGCATGAGGGAAGCTTGCAGCTGGTTTGGCTTGAAAGAGTGCGTGGATGGTGTGGAGGGGTGCCTGGTGCTGGAATGCAAGGTTGTTGACCTTTGGCATGCATTGGATGTCATGCTGTTGCGAGTGCCCACCTGTGGAAGTGGAAATGTGCGATTGAAGTCTCGTCATTTCCTTTTGATGCCCATTCAGATCACTAGTGCATTGGGATGTCGCCCTGTGCTCGTAGTTTTAGTGCTGCTGGTGGGTTGGTTTCGATGTGCTGGTTCACAGTACTGTCGCGCTCAGTTACTCGGATAGCTGACAGCGCCGAGTGTGGGATGAGGGGCCGTCCTGAGGGTGTCTGGGGTCACAGAATGTGATCTGGTGATTCAAGCAGCACCAGGGTGAGGGTCCCAAGCGGAATGGGCCAAGGAGACCAGATCCTGGTGTGTTTGTTCTAGACGCCTCTCGACGAGAGCCCGAAGCGCATAATAAGGGGACTCAGCCCGATGCTGACAATTGCGAAGTAGCTGCCTGAGACTTGTGTCAGCTTCGAGGCTCTCGAGCCACAACAGAGGCGTGCTGGGCAAGCTTGCTTTGAGTGTCGTAGTGGTCGTGAGATGTGCGACAGTGCTGCGGCAGGGAGCCCTCCGAGGTAGCCGACAAAACGAACCGCCAGTGTCCAAGCCTTCCGAGTTGAAGAGTCACGGCTGAAGTCTCAAGGGCTGGGCTGCTTTTTGCCAAAGACGGTTGAGTGTCTGGAGATGCTTGCGCGGGTTGATGACCTTCACCGGAACCTGTATGCCCTAGCAGTATCTTCGGTGTTGTCTAGGAGTCTGAGGTGACTGTCCGCGATCGGGTTGTTTCCCGTACAGCTCGGTTTCGATCTAATTACTGCTACTGCTACGGCTGCGGGTGCGGCTGCTACTACTGCTGCTACTGCTGCTACTACTGCTACTACTGCTACTCCTGCTACTACTGCTACTACTGCTACTACTGCTACTACTGCTACTCCTGCTACTACTGCTACTACTGCTACTACTGCTACTACTGCTACTACTGCTACTACTGCTACTACTGCTACTACTGCTGCTCCTGCTACTGCTGCTACTACAGCTACTACTGCTACTACTGCTACTACTGCTACTACTGCTACTACTGCTACTACTGCTACTACTGCTACTACTGCTACTGCTGCTACTACTGCTACTACTGCTATTACTGCTACTACTGCTACTACTGCTACTACCACTACTACTGCTACTCCGCTACAACTGCTTCTACTGCTACTGCTGCTTTACTACTGCTCCTACTACTACGTCTACTGCTACTACTGCTTCCATCGCTACTACTGCACTTCTACTGCTACTACTGCTACTGCTGTTGCTACTGCTGTTGCTACTGCTCTGCTACTGCTCTGCTGCTGCTACCGCTGCCGCTGCTCCTCCTCCTCCTGCTGCTACTGCTACTGCCTGGGCTTGCAATGCAACCTCCCCAACTGCCCTGCTCTTGTAAGCTACGCAAACATGCTTCATGCAGTGTCGTGCTATCAATGGCCCGTCAATGGGCATCACTTCAAAACCCAAATGAATCCTTGCAAGTGGCTTCAAGTGAGCATCAGTCAAAACTGGCCTCTTGTGAGTTGCTTCGGGCGAAACACCAAGTACCAAGACCCTGTAGTGCAAAGCGACGGGACCACCTGACCAGCCTTTTAAGAATGATTTCCAAGTCGACACCCAAAGCGAGCCCCGCTTTAAGCAATGCAAGTTTTCTTCACATACATTATAGATTGTCGTGCCGCCGGTGAACATCACTCTTGAGCACCCATATGATTTCTTCCCCAACCTCATGCTGCGCATGCTTGCTTCATAGAATGTCGTTCCCGTGAATGGACATTCTTCTCAAGCACCCATATGGGTCCTTCCCCAGCGCATCATGCGAGCAGAGTGTGCAAATTGGGTTGCGCTCACCCCCCCCTGCTGCCCCGCTTTCAAATTGTGTAAACTTGCTTCATGGAATGTCGTGCTGTCAATGGCCCGTCAATGTGAGTCCCTTCAAAACCCCACATGAACCCTTTCCAAACCCATCATGCGCGCATTGTGTTTGCAAATGAAAGGGTTGTGCCCCCTTCAACCGCGCTCTTGTAAGCTCTGCAGACTTACTTCTTCGTTAGCAAACTAGAAATTACGTGTCGAAAGTGCTGACAGAAGGGAGCGAAAACAAATAGGGGAGGGAAGAAAACTCCAACATGCGCCCCCAAGCAGCTTCCTCCTGCAGCTTTCAAGCAGTTGGTTCATGTTCTCCTGTCCAGAGGCCTGATTTGGACTTTGACTCCGTAAACTTTGCGCAGCTGGAGGCGCTGAACCGAAAGTGCATTCTCAAAGGTCCTAACAGTTAACACAAAAAAGATGTCAGAGTCGAACGATGTAGATTGTAAGCAGTTTCTGAATCTTGCGAAGTCACAGGGCAAAAGCACAGCTCGCGGCATCGATGTCACGCCCCACCAGTTGCTCGGCTAATGCTGCTTTCTGTTTTTCTTTTCTTCTCCACCTTGGGTCTTGGATTTCATTGGTTGCGTCAAATAATAAGAGCAAGAACATGCAACAATACAATCAAGAGGTGCCAGTTGGTTGTAGGCCTTAAAGAGGCCCCAGTGAAACTTCTGAGGAAGCTTGAGGCCACGGACGGGAAGGGCGGATTGGGCTCATGGCTCTTTCTTGCCTTGCTGTGTCTGGCTTTGTGCTTCTGCGACAGTATTCAGGATCCTGTCAAACATTGCGGACGGTTCGGTCGATTCGTGCAGAGAGGGCCTTGCATTTTGCATGGTTCCTCAGCTCACAGCATTCCAAGCAAGCTGATGAGCGGATGACATGAGAAGATGCAGCCAGGCTTCGCTGAGGCTGCCGTGTCAATATGTTCGACAGAGCCGAAGTTAAACCCCGAAGCAAAAGCAAATGGAGCATCATTGAGCTGAGTCCATCTTAGCTTCAGTCGGCCTTTGTTGCGATGCACCAAGAACAGAACTTGCCAAGAAGCGAAGGCTTGATGGGTTTTTCCATGCTTCTCTTGGCTTTTTTTGAGACTCAACACATTCTGACCACTGCAGTCCGACCACCACTTCAACCGTTGCCCGTAAAGCGCAGAGGGTACAAACAGCCAGATAGTGATGCAAGATAAATTGCCATAATTGCCGAGAATGATTCAGAATGATGTTGAAAGATTCAAGCAAAGCCAAGTTTTGCAGGCTGTTCAATATGATCAGGGCTGGCAAGTTTCAGTTTCAGGCCTTCCAAGCCAGGATAGTCCGCTCGTTTGCACATGAGACATTTGAGGCAGAAGCCGAATCGGCCGTCGGCCCGGTCTATGGGAGAGTTGGATCCGGAGGCGTTGTTCAGCGGTGCCATGCGGTGCTTCGATCGTCTTGAGCGCAGTGTTGGCTGCCAGGAGAAGCGACTACAATCCTTGCTGGAAATGCGCCTGCAACCCTCTACTTGATGTCCAAGGGCGAGTCAGACGGTAGGGCGCATTGCCGGTGCAGTGGTAGCCAACTTGACGCCGCAAAAGAGGGGGGGGGTGTTGAACTTGCAAAGCTCCATGTCTCAGAAGCCCTGTTGCTGCCAGATCATGACTGCTGTTGTAACACTATGAAGCAAGAATCAATACAGCCACTATATAATTGCGACGAGACAGGTTATTCAAACATGCGAGTTATTCCATTATGCTAAACAAAATTGACTACAGGATATCATCCAATTTGAATACTTCTGATTGCCTCTACGGACACCTGCGCACGGGGATCACTCGCAGTGCGGAAAGATATGTTCACGCGAAAAGACGCTTGCATGTCAAGGAGGCGGTGGGTGCTTCAGCAAGGGCGAAATTGTGCTTGTTCTCATCTTCCCTGCGGCATGAGCCATTCTTAATGGCGTTGCGCGGCTTGTCAGAACATTGTAATGCCGCTTCGGTCGCGCATGGTTTTCTCTCTCTCTCTCTCTGTCTCTCTCTCTCTCTCTCTCTTTCTCTCTCTCTCTCTCTCTCTCTCTGTCTCTCTCTCTCCGTCGACGTGCGAGAATCAATGCGTCAAGAAATAGCCGGGTTGCTGCACGAGCACACGTGGGTGCGTTCGCGCTTCTTGCTTCACCGACACATCTGATTTGAATGCCACGAACGGCTCGCACGGTTCATTCGCTCCATTGGCGCGTTTCTCATAAGCAGTCTGGCCATGTCTTCGGCGTGCACGATGATACATGTCGATGCGCACGGTGCGGACAGACGTGTCGGAGAATGTCCTTCGATGATGGAACTCAAGAAAACTTCAAGCAAGTCAGTACCTCCTTTCAGCAAATTGCGCCCGTAAGGAATGATCTGTGAGACGCTGTTGATATCCTGCCAGGCCTTTTGTGCGAATCCCTGTCCATTTATTGTCTTCGTTCAACACTAGGCTTGCCGAGCTGGCGCTCGAAGAGCCGCCCTACACTCTACACGTAACACCTTTCTCTACGGGCTTTGTCCAACAGTTCGAGCGTTGCATCAAGGAGTGTCTGTCTCCAAAGCTCGGCTGAGCAATGCTTTGAAAACGGCGCATGTGTACAGGACAAAAAATGCCATGGCCTTGTGAGCCATGTGTGAGTCCGTTCTCTGGGGATCGCATTTCGCGGCGTTCGAAGTCGGATGCCGCCGCGACTCCCTCTCCTGTCCTGTGCACATGTCCCTTGTGATTTTGTGATTTGCAGAACAGTCGCTTTTGGTCTTTGGAGCGTGCTCCTGATGCTCCTGCGGGTGACGCTTGCGCTCTGTTACTGTCGTGGTCTTGCACGGTTTGGGATCTAGAGTTTACACTGGCAGAGTTTTGTCGTAATTCTGCTGTAGCCACCAGTCGGCACCGCAAGTGCAAGGTTTGTGCTGCTGATTGGCATTGCCATAGAAAGGGGGAATAATCTGCAATCTCATATTCGCATCGTTCTTTTAGACACTTTTCATGTCATGCCCAGACAGTGTTGATGCGCAGAAGTTTTGATAGCGCCCATTGTAAGTCAGCGAGTGCCAGAGTTGCGATGAGTGTTCAAGTAAATATGCCAGACTGCAAAGACAACCTGGTGCCAAGTCCCAACGCCCTTCCTTTTGACATCCTTCCATGACTGCCTAGAATGAAAGTCCGCCTCATCGCAGCTATGTCGCGAAATCGCGTGATCGGGAAGAAGGGACGACTGCCATGGTCCATTCCTGAGGCAGACCACGATGTCGCTTGTGTGGTGCTGAACGGTGTGGAATTGCCGGAATTTGTGCTCTGCAGGACTTCGCGTACTTTTTGGATGCAGTGAGAGGCGATGTTTGCATCACCGGCCGGAAGTCCTATGCAGAGTTTGGCAGTGCCATTCCTGGTGCAGGTGGGGGGTGGGATCTTCGTGCAAACATGTAAGCAGGGAAGGAGTTCCTACCCTGGTATGTATCCGGCAGCACACCAAGCCCAGACAGGACAATTCTAAGTCTGCGGTCAATCGAATCGTTTACTTCTCGGACTTATCATTCGACACACCTCCTTCATGAACAGCTCTTGGACTCGACCGGGCGTTGTCAGTGAGCAAAGCGTATTACTGGCTGTAAAGCTGTGTGAGTGTGTCCAAGACAGCTTAGTAGCTTGGTAGGTTGCTGGAGACTCAGTACCGTGTCGTGGCTTGCGCTCCTGTCGTGAGTTTGCCAGGTCTTCACATCGTCCTATCCAAGCAAGGTTTTGCATGTCCAGATGCTGTGGTTCAGCCTTCGCTGGGCGCAGCGCTGCACGTTTTGATCCAAGTCAGCCAAAACATGTGCAACTTCTGTGCCGTTGCTAACGCTGCTCACGGTTGATTTTGGCAGCAGCACCAAGTGCGAACGATTAAAGTTATTAAAGTCTGAGGTCGCGAAAGATTGCCAGGCCAAAAATGTGTGGATTGCTGGTGGCACATCTGTGTACAGGGAGTCTTTCCCCATTGCAGATGAGTTCTGGGCAACTCTTATTCATGAAGATGCTTGACTTCAACGGCACGTCTTGTGTAGTGAGCGGCGGTTTGCGCATGACTTCATGTACATCTAGCTCCACTAACTGCGCACATTGCATTGCGAAAATTCTCTGAGGACATGGATGGCGACACATTTTTCCCAGCAAACTGGCAGCAGCATTTCCCAGAGGAGGACTGCCTGTAGCAGGAAACAGGTCAAACAAAAGCTCCTCATCATTCGCTTCTTTTGAAGGTCAGCCGGCGGAGCAGCTCGGACGCAAACTTCCGCTACGATTTTGTGATCTACAGACGACGATTATCATAAGAAGTTGTTCCAGTCGTTCATCCACGTCGACGCCCTGCACAATTGATGTCCAGACTGCACATGGAGTCCAAGAATGCTGTACAGCATGGTGCAGTAGTGGGCAGTGCGTTACAGGGCTTGTTTGGATAGTCGCCGATCTGGAGCCCGATGTTTCCAGATGAGAGTTGACTTGTGGATGCCGCTGCCCACTCCGCTGACTATTTCATTGACTGAGCCGCAGCACCCTGTCCCTTTCAATAGGGAAAGGACGTTGAAGAATGATGGGGAGGGGGCAAAGCCTGCTGATGGCGACAAATTAAGCGCAGCGTTTCTACACATGCCTCCTGCGATAGCTGGAATATGACGGTTGCGGACAAACACCTCTCGCGAGAGGACTTTCGCTCAGGAGCACGTGTGGCCAATCTGGTCCTTGGATCATTTCCTCACTCGACAAAGTGGACCAGAATGATACCTTCATAGGCAGGCAGGCAGCTGCATCGAAAAGTGCTGCCTTCACACCGCAGGCCATGGAGTCTAAGGCAGATGTTCCACCTAGCCTTGCGAACCCAACTCAGCGACCATGCCCAATTATGGTGGCAGATTTTGCACAGTTGGCCGCCTACGCCTCCCTGGCCTGCCTGTTGAAACAACATTCTGGTATCGCTTGTTTGGCTGTCTGGGATGATAGACCTCGTGTTACTGTAGTCACTGTAGTTATGGGTTGAGTAATAAGGCATGTACCAATGGCAATGGTTCGCCACTCCACTGTGTGAGGAGTACATACCTGATTTCAGAGGGGTTCGGTCGGCGTCGGTCTCTATGAGACTATGATAAACATGGCAGCCGCACGGCTTTTTGCGGTTTCTCCGTCACGGCGCAAGGACGCGACAGAAGCGGATGAGGCTCCGCTCGTGCACCGGCCAGCTGGTCAACCACCGCAGTGCCTACGGGGCTCTTCAAATGCAAAAGCGCAGCAGGCGTGAAAAGACGGAGGACTTTTCATCACGACGATACTGATCAGGTCCCCAACCTTTGCCGAGCCGTTTCGACATAAGCACAGCATATCAGCCCAGGCATCGACAGAGAGCCTGATCGATCATCTTTCGTTTGACGCTCCATGGCGAAAGGGGGTCTCGATTCTTCTAAGGGTTCCCGGTAACAATTTCACTGTCGCGTGTTGCCTTTTTTACATCGAAGTTCAGGAGCTTTTCATGTTTGGAATAGGTCGGCATTGCAATGAACTCCGCTCGAACTCACTATAAGGCCAGCAACACCCCAAAGCCAAAGCCATCTTCCTTGATTCCACCAAGCTCAAGATGCCAAACTGAATGCTAATGCCCTGGCTATGCAGTGTCTTCTTAGTCTTCCACTGCAATGACACTGCAAATGAGCAGACAATTTCCGGGCAGCATGGAAAACAACAACAAAGCGCTCAGTTCCCAACACTGCAAGTTCAAATCCCTCGCTGTTGGGTTTTAGTGGGTTGCAGGAACGGGTGGGGATGTTCAAAGTGGTATTCTTTTTTTCCGAGGTAGCCATTCTGCGAGCTCATGTTGGAACGTCCTTGCGAGTTTTTTTTGAAGTCACTGTGCCACCAGCACTTGCCGTCATGGGATCGTTGAAGCCACCTGTGTCTGTCTCCAGATATACACGGGCTTGGTCCCATATAGTCATGCGCATACGTTGCTAGAGCCGAAGCGAAAAAAGGCCGAGTTTCGTCACGTGGCAGTTCTCGGCTTGAGCCTGCGAGCGAATGCAGATTCTAGGGAGGTGCAGAATTTTTTCTAGGAGCATGATACAAAACATACGTGCATCACCGCGTAACAGCTACGGCGGCTTGCAAGGCAAGTATGTCCTGGAAGTGTGCTTGGTGAGCGTTGTCGAAATAATCCCGGAACCCCGGCCATGCCAGCAGCAAAGCTGATATCCATTGCAGACTTACATGGTGACTTCCAGCGGGCTGTTCGCATACTTGTCCATCCGGGATCATTGATGAGGAGTAACCATCAGATCAACGCTTGCCCTTGCATCAGGTTCACGATGGTTACGGCATCTGCATGCGTCAGGAGAGCCATGCTTGGATGGTGGGGAGTCTGTGCTAAATCCAGACCGGCCGACATCGTCGATCTTCGTCTCCACTTTTATGGCACTTTATGCTTTTGTGTTACGCAGATTGTCATGGTGGATAGTTCTTGAGTCTTGAGGTGTGGGTTCCATTCGTTGCTGCCATACTTTTGAAGTCCTGCCCCAGTCCCTCCTCCCCAATCTCCGAACAGATGGCAGGACCCCCCGCAACCCCATGTTTTTGACAGACTATAGTTCGATGTTGCCTCGAGGATGCGCATTCAGGTACAAGTGGATCAGGGCCTAGCGGCCTAGCGGCCTAACGGCCAACATTCCATGACTAACCTCGGCGCACCCTTGAGACTTGAACTCCCAGCGCGCGAGATTCTCAAAGCACAGAAGCGCTCATTAGCAGACATGTATCCAGTTCCCTTCCCTTGGAAATGCACGTTGGGTTGTTCCGTTTGTTGCCGCCCTGTGCCTGCAGATTTTGCCATTCCTTCCGCTTGTCGTTGGGTGTCCCAGGCTTGCCACTTGTTTGCGTCCTTTTTGCATCAAATTCCCTGTCGCTTCACAAGCTTGCCCGTTGAATCACGAAAATGGATGTTCGTGAAGATTAACCAGAGGCGCTCCTCTTTCACCCCCTACTTCATCCCTCGGTTTTGCATGTCGTTGGCATGGTGGCTTGCAGTGCGAGCGTTGGTTTAAAGTTGTCCAGACGTTCAAGGTCATTTATTTTGTTAAGTTCATTGTCCCTGAGTTTCGGCTCCGCAAATTCACTGTCACTCTCACTTTCTCACTTGCTTAAACTTGAAGGAGGGCAGGGTGCTATACCTCCGCTTACTTCTTCTCTTATGTCTCCTTTAAAAAAGAGAGTCCGGAGCATAACCCATACTGTTTGACTTTTTGGTGCTAGTTTGACAGGCTTTTGCTTTGAAGCGGAATGAGGTGCCTCTAACCGTGCAATAAAGAATCAAGGTGCTCGTTTTCCCACGAGGAAGAGAGCCCGGAGCCAACACCCACATTGCTTGATTTTTTTGTGCTAATTTGATAGGCATTTTGGTGAAATACGGAGCAGCTTGAAACGAAAGGACGATAAAAACTTGCTCCAACATCAGTGCCCACTCATTTTCGGAACCATCCCGCCGCTTCAAATCCCGAGGCCCAGAAATCCAGAGCACGGACTTTCTGATTCATGTTTTCATAAACAGAGCCGGCACTGTATGCATTCGGATATCGCAACGGCGCTGCGGTGCGCTGAGCGTTTTTGACGTCTGTGCGTGTTCACTATGTCGAACGAACTTCTTGGGGATGTCCGGGAATGGCGCAGCGTGCCGAAATTCGCGGTTTGATTGCCGTCCTGCCCCCAGTGGTGGTGGGTGGTGGTGGGTGGTGGTGGGTGGTGGTGGGGGCGTTGGGTGCGGTGGGTGGCGGTGTGGCGGTGGGTGGTTGGGTGGTGCTGGGTGGTGGTGGCGGGCGGTGGTGGGGTGGTGGTGTCGCGGGGAGTGGTGGTGTCGTGGGTGGGTGGTGGTGTCGTGGGTGGTGGTGGGGGTTGGTCGGGTGGTTAGGGTGGGTGGTGGGTGTGTGGGTGGGGGGTTGTGGATGGTGGTGAGTGGTGGTGTCGTGGGTGGTGAGTGTTGCGCGTGGGTGGTGAGGTTGTGTGTATGTCAGGGACAACTATGTTCTCTGGTCCTTGCAAGAATCTTGCAGAGCTGCACTTGCATGGTCCATTGGCGCTGCGGTGGGGTTTGTGCTGCAGTTGTTGCGAGAGAGGTGACAGGTACGTGGCTGGGTGTGCGGAGGTGTGGTGAGGCCATATTCATGACTGAGGACAAGACAAGCCCCCCCCCCCCCCCCCCCCCCCAAAAAAAAAAAAAAAAACAAAACAACCTGATAGGACCTACGAACCCGAATGCGGGAAGCAGTCACCCATAACGCAGATATAACGCGAAATCAACGAAACGTCGGTGCGCGGGCGAAAGGAGGTTTTCGTTTCGCACTGTGGAGTTTCCCCTTCACTTGACGGATTTGCGGAACCCCTTAGCTTGACGGATTCGGACGCCGCGGAACGGCCACGTGGAACGGAGTTCCCCCTTAGCACGGTTCGGAAACGCCGGAACGTCGTCCGAGTTCTCCCTTAGCTTGACGGATTCGAACGCTGCGGAACGCCACGTGGAACGCCACGGCGGCGCGCGTCCTGTGGAGTTCCCCCTTAGCTTGACAGATTCGGAACGCCGCGGAACGCCACGGCGGCGCGCGTCCTGTTGCAGTTCCCCCTTAACAGCACTCATTACGCCAAGCGCGGAACGCCACAGCGGCGCGCCCTGTGGAGTTTCCCCTTAAGCTTGACGGATTCGGAACGCCGCGGAACGCGGCGGCACGCATCCTGTGCCATTCCCCCTTAACAGCACGCATTACGCCAACGCCGCGGAACTCCACAGCGGGCGCGTCCGTGAGTTCCCCCTTAGCTTGAACGGATTCGGAAACGCCGCGGAACGCCACGGCGGCGCGCGTCCTGTGCAGTTCCCCCTTAACAGCACGCATTACGCCACTCGCGGACGCCACGCTTTGCGAACGCTTTGAACGACGAACGCTTTGAACGCTTTGCGAACGCTTTGCGAACGCTTTGGCGAACGCTTTGCGAACGCTTTGCTTGCGAACGCTTGCGAACGCTGCGAAACAACGCTTTGCGGACACAACGCAACGACGTTGGTAACCTCCCGGTAACCTCCCAGCCCAACTTTAAAACGGGAACCCTTCTGCGGAGCATTCGGGAAAAAAAAAGAAAACTAACAAAAAACAAAATTCTAGTTCCGACTCCCAAACTATCCCAAACCATTCTCGCAGCAGGTACCTGCAATTACCTGCACATCCACAACTCTAGGTGGAGATGTAGCCCTCCCGCACCAGCGCCCCAGCGTCCTCCAGTGTTTCAGCGTTTTTCAGCATCCCAGCGT